CCCCAGATTACTTAAAAAAATGCCAAAACTTCCCTTTCCCCTTTACTTTCCAATCCACATTCCTCCAATGCCCCACTTTGCCACAATAAACCCAAAAATCAATTATTTGCAATACCCAAACAGTGGCCAGCAGTAAATCATAGGAAATTCGAAATACAATTACAACCACAAAATAAACAAAAAAAAAATCAATAAAAATGGAAAGACAAACAAATCGACAAAACACCAAGCAGATCATCAACATTTGGCGTAGAACGATTTTAAAAATAAAGAATGAGGCGACATTGATTGACACAATCGAACGTAAAATTGCCGCAAATAATGAATCAAAAAATAGTTCAGAACAAAGTGACCTAGCGTCGACGATGTGCATCAACATGCCACCACTACCAGCGAACCAACTATTCCCCCTCCACATATATCATCAAGTTCTGTGGCATCAAATCGAACGCCTGGCAAAATGATTTGGCCATGCCAAATTTAGACAATAAAATTAATTTGTATTTCAATCGATTTTAATTTTCTTCAAGATTTTGAAAAGGTTTGGAAAATTTAGATTTTTTATTTATTTTGTAATCAAGGATTATTTTACTTAATTTATTTAAAAAAAAAACTTATAATTGTTTAAGACTATTTTTCATTTTCATTTCATCAAATACGACGATTTTAAAATAATACTTTTTTGAAGAAATTTTTAAGTTGTAATCTTCGATTTTTATACCCTTCACCTTGGAAAGGAGGGTATAAAAGGACGATGTCCGTCTGTCTGTTGAAATCACGGCCACATTATTTGATGTAGACTTTTAAAAGTTTGCAGAACATTTTGTACGGTGTCTAGGATGGTTGATATTGATATGACGGGTTCTTTCTCCGGTGGCGAAACATTGTATATATAGGTCCACGTGTTGGTATAGCCCCTATATAACGGTGGGTCATAATGTGTTCTAGAGCCGGTGGCAAAACATTGTATGTATAGGTCCACGTTGTTCCATAGCCCCATATAACGGTACCTCCCGATATTCGGTATTTTGATTTTTACCACATTTTTCCACTAAATTGACTAAAAATTGGTATTTGTGGGTGACAATGGGTTGTAGCTCGTTTTGGTATAGCCCCATATAACGGTACCTCCCAAAATTCGATATTTTGAAAAAAAATTATATTTGCAGTTCATAATGGGTTCTAGCCCGGTGGCAGAATATTGAATATTTAGTTCCACGTTTTCTAAAGCACACATACAGGGTGAGGCAAAAAAACTGCAACAAAGTCAAACGCCATAATTGTTAATTTTTTTTTTTTTTTGCATTTTTTTGAATGAAAGCAAAAAATGTCGGAAATAGCATCAAATTTTAGAATAAGTTCAGATTTGTTCGAATTGGTCACCTTTTACACGAATTATAACCTTCAAACGGCCAATGAAACCATCACACACTGCCCGAATATTGCTCTGCGGTATTTTGGCCCACTCCCAGAGAAGCGCTTGCTTGAGGTCATCGACACTTTGGTATTTTTTAGTGCCAACCTTTTTTTCCAAAATACTCCAGACACAATAGTCCAACGGATTGGTATCCGGAGATTGAAATGGAGCGAGGAACCTCATTTTGTAACCAATCTTCTTGCGATGGTGCTGAGTCCTGTTAGAATGTCCAAGGTCTGCGGCCAAAATCTTTGCATGCCCAAGGCATTAATACGCCCTCCAGAATATTTTCGCGATAATATTCGGCATTTATTCTGATGCCACGGTTGATTAATACGAGCAGAGAACTACCATCACCATGGCCGGCGCTTGAGTTCTGGTGGCCAACCGGAGGTGCACATTTTCAGCTGACCTCTTCGGCAAGTAAACACGATCATTTTGTTTGTTTACAAACTGCTGGACAACGAATGTTTTCTCATCGGAGAAACCCAAATTCGGCTGTTCACTACTTTCGCCCAATCGAAGCAACTCTTTAGCTCTTGTGAGTCTATTTTCTTTCCGTTGCGATGTAAGTTATTGCACTTTTTGGAATTTCAATGGCCTTACCCCGAGCTTATTTTGCATATTTTTTGCCGAATGGAATATTGCGATATGTTCAGCTCACGAGTCATTTTTCGGCCACTGCGACGCGGGTTTCGATCAGGTCGCTTCTTTACTTTTCGAACCATTTCTGCTGATTTTGCTGTTTTCTTCCGTCCACTTCCTTGACGACGGGCTACGCAATCAGTATCACGGTAACCAGCGATGATACGAGACACAAAAGATTTATTCACATTTAAATGCTGGAGTTCTCTAGCGATAGCCACTTGGGGTTTTCCAGCCAAATATAAAGAAAGCACACTATCACGCTTGAATTCCATCATGAATAACTTTTTTTTTGGAAAATTCTCACCAAAGAGCTTTTGTACGCTTGTAAACAATATAATAAGCTGTCAGTGAAATAATTTTAACAGCTGTTGGTCGAGTGGCTTAAAAGTGACAGCAATCTGAAGTTGGTTGCTGTTTTTCTCACTCACCATGTATAGTCGTTTTTTATATTTTTCATTATTTTCAATATTTTTTATATTGAAAAAAAAAAAATCGTTTACGTAGAATTGGAGCTACAATTCTGTTTTTTTTTTTTTTTTGAAAATAGTTTAGCTATATTCGTATCTTTTTTTTAATTTCATATATGTATTTGTGATTTTTAAATTATCTGATAAAATTGCTCTAGTTAAAAAATTCCCCTTCAACTTTAATATTTTTTTATGAAAACATGTTTAAATGAAAAAATCTCCATTGAATTTTTTAGAAAATTCATATTTTTGTAAAAAAAAAGAATCCAACATCTAGTGTGCCAAAAGTAAACTAGAAAATAATTCGAGGTAATTGTCCGTGCTACCAGATGGTGTCTGTGCTACAATACTCTGGATGTACTAAACACGTATTAGAACTCCTTCGTGTTGTGAATTGCAATAATTGTTTTCCAAATTGTATCATGTTCAAAAACCTACACAAAATAAATGAATCACCCTGTTTCGGTATTATTTTTAATAATAAGGTGCTATATGATCAACTTAACAACTAAAAAAAATCTTAGTTTTCCATTGTATAGGCAAAGTGATTTCACTTAAATCCATAAAAAAAAAAACCTATAGAGACACACATTAAAAAGGTATTAGGCACTCTCAAATATAAATATATTAATATTTGTGCTTCAGAACATGCAATATAGTAATATATTGCACCAGTTTTACAATTATTTACTTGAAAACTGTTTCCATAGAAAACTTAGTAATATTTACATTAAATATACTTGGCGAATTTTGTCGATTAAAATATAGTTGCAATATCTTCCAGCTTCTGATTGGCAGTAATGTTGATACTGAATTTTAACAGTTTTCCAGTTTTCCTTTTCTCTACTTTCAAGGCAAAGAAGTTGTCCAAGACCGAATGTAACAATTCTCTAGTAAAGTAGTCTTAACATTAAACAGTCGTTTTTGCCGGCAGATGTATACTCTCAGCCATGGTATAATGAAGAAGGTAAAGTCATTTCAAATAAGCATATCCATCTCTGCATTTTCTGTAATTTACCTTGTCAAATGTCACTGCATAGAATATAGGTTCCCATCTCTGATTTCTGTGTATTCACTTTAAGTGAGAAATGTGATAATGTTACGTAAATGTTGAAATGTGCAAGTTATGTTTCGCAAGTTATGACAGATATAAGAATTGAAAATTGAGACCCTTTGTGGGTGAGGCACCAGAACGGGTTCGCAGATCATCTGTATCATCTTCACAACAGATCTTGTTAGCAAAAATGCTTGTGTGTGTCTGAAATTTGAAGAGATTTCGTTTTGAATGTTTTGTTTTCCAAAATCTTGAACCCCTATGTGAGGGAGAAACCAGAATAAATTGTCCGATCCCCGCCATCTTTATAACAGATCTTGTGTTTATGGAAATATTGAGATGTACCAAGTCTGAATGGAGTCGGATGTTAATTTCGCGTTTTATGAGATTAGTGGTTATTTACAATTACAGAAGGAGTTGACCGATATATCCCACTTTCACAGCAAATCTTGTGTTAGTAGAAATAAGAACCGGAGAAGATTTTATGTTGATGAAAATATTGAGATCTGCCAAGTCTGAATAGAATCGGATGTTAATTTGGCGTTTTATGAGCTTCAAACAATTTTGACCCTTTGCGGAGGAGGTACCAGAAGGAGTGGACTGATGTATTCCATTTCCACACCAGACGTTGAGTTAATAAAAATATCGTGATGTGTGTAATTTGAAGATAATTGGTCACTTATATCACATTTCATAAGAGTTATAATTATTCACAATTTTGACCCTATGTGGGGAGGTACTTGTGTGAGTGGACCAATATTGTCCATTTTCGCACATGACCTAGCACTGATGTAAATATTATGATATGCAAAGTTGGAGCAAAATCGGATTTCGTTTCTCTTTCTGTGCAGAAAATATATTTTTTGAAAAATTCGACCTTTTGTGGGGGAGGTACCACAAGGAGTAGACCGATATATTTCATCTTATCACCAGACCTTGGATTAATAATAATATTGGGAAATTTGAAGACAATCGAACTCTTACATCACATTTTATAAGAGTTGTAATTATTTAAATTTTTGACACTTTGTGGGGGAGGTACTTGATGGAGTGGACCGATATTGTCCATTTTGGCACCTGACCTAGAACTGACGCAAATATTAGGATTTGCAAAGTTGGAACAAGATCGAATACTATAAAATTCTATATGTATTATGTAATACATATTGCTGCAAAATTTAGTTTATTTTGCTATAAATTATTAATTTATTTATGTTGTGTGGCTCCATTAGTGTTTTGAACCACTGTGCCCCGGTGATAAAATCGCTCGGTCTTGAAGTCAAATTATCGGCTGATAATCATTTTCTGTTTCATACCTCATTCGTAAACAACGCACGTCGAAATTGGGTAGTTGGAGATTACTTCATCCACCTCTTTATCATCTGTTTGCCTATGTCTCCTTATTCATAACGTTTGGAACGTATTCCATTAAGTTTGGTTCGCGGAAAAAACCAAACATTTCGCACAGAAACATCGATCTGATTGTATTTCGGAAAAATCGGGTGAATCCAGCTTAAATGGCCACAAACATTAAAGCGGCATGTGGCCAGCAGCTCTAACACGACTGCTGAAAAGAAGATTAGCCTATATTATATTGGTTATATTATTTTTTGTATATGTTATTACAAAAACTTTTAATAATAAAGTAAGAAGCGCCATGGCCGGACCGGACATTGTCGAAACTTGAATATATTGTTTTGTGTTCATTTGTAGAATTCCCCACAACATTTCCTGGAATCCGATGTGTTTACCGTGGAACGTACTATTCCTCTAGTATGGCGTACGGCCGAGGAACACCTACTATCGCCTGAGCAACTAAAAGAAAATCCCACAAATCCTCCCAACATCGAGTGTCGTAATTCCATGCAGGGACGTGATCTTCTGGTGGATGAACGTGGCTTTGTTTGTGATGCTGATGTTCTGCTCGCCAATGGTTGTTGTAATGTCCAACATCATTCGACCAAATATTATACCTGTGAAACGTGTAATCCCAACACTCAGTGTTGTGGTATCTATGAACATTGTGTTTCCTGTTGTTTACATCCAGAGAAGCGACCGGTGTTGGAGTTAGCATTGGAACATATAAAGGGACGTCAGGCAATGGTATATGCTCAGGTTGCGGATCAATATGAATTGTGTTTGGTAAAGTGTCGCACTAATTCACATTCAGTGGAACATGAAAATCGTTATCGTGATCCGACACATCGTTTCTGTTATGGTCCCACACAGGCTCATGAATCACAAATAGAGGTTTCGGGCATGGGATCATGATAGAAAAGCGCTGGGGTGTTTAACTTTAGTTTAATTGTAAATTTGCCGTGATAATTACCTACAAAGGACCTGTTAAATTTTGGAACATGGTATATTTTGCAATTTAATTGTAAACTATAAACTAACTATGTCCTTTTATCCTCGTCCTAGTAGGGTATTTCAATATCATCTAAAAGTTTAGACCGTAAATTATGGAATGTATTCCCAACTTCGAATGAATATATTGTCCGTATAAAGACTCACTTCACCTGTGTCCCACATAGAAAATCGCCTATTTATAAGCAAACTAGAGTTAATACGGAGCATTTGCATAATGACCATGGTAAACATGATTGGATACCATTTACTAAAGTGTGTTCCTTTTGCTAGTTTAATGTTAATGTAAACATTTTGGACTGTTCTCGTAATGAATAATTGCCTTTTTTCAGCTGTATTTTCTTGTAACTAAGATGTAATAGATTTATTTAATTTGTACACAGTTTAGGATAGCATAGGATTTTGTATACGTAATTAATTAATTAATTAATAATACTCATTTTTGTAATTCGTAGTTTAACAAGCGGGTGCAGAAATTATAAATAAATGACAATTTTGATACATAAACTAAGTCCTGGTTATATTCTTTAATGGAGTCGAATGTACAATTTGTAATGGATGCTAAATTTTGTTAAAGCATGGAAAAACATGGGACTTTTTTAAACTTGTCTTGAACAATGTATTAAGTACCAAATCCAAGAATTTAGGTTAAGAAGTCTTTCAAAAAGGTGTAAGTAAAAATGTTCTAAGTGGTTGGCTACGAAACATCCAGATCCACGTTTTTAACAGGAAGTTTTAAATAAATTGTTTTTAAAAAATTTACGATTTTTGAATATTTATACTCTACACCACAAGGTGGTCAGGGTATCATGTGTTTGTGCATTTGTTTGTAGCAGGCAAAAGGTAAGGAGATAGACCCATATTTCCTTTTGATGATCTGCATAGAATCAGATTCTGAGTCGATTTGTGCATGTCCGTCCATCCGTCTGTCCATGTATTTTTCTAAACAAAGTACAGGTCGCTTTTATTGCCCGATCCATATAAAGTTTTGCCCAAATCATTTGTTTGGCCCAAGGACGAACCCTATTGAAATTAGAGGAAATCGGTCAGAATTTAAACATAGCTCCCAAATATATCTTTGTCCGATTAGTTTTCTATTGTGCACCAAATTTGGAATGAAAAATGGAATTTTGCAAATACTACCAAATTAGGCCTGAAAATAAGTATGCCAAATTTGATGGAAATCGGTTCAGCTATAGCTATAGCTCCCATATACATTGTTCGTCCAATTTGTTATTTTTGTCATCCGCAGACGTAATATGCTCTTTGTAACAACGATATTTGGGGAAATATATCAAATACAGCTAAATTTTATCGAGATCGGCTCAGATTCGGATATAGGTCCCATATACTACTTCGTCCGAATTGCGCTTTATTGTGTACCAAATATGTAATATTAGCCCAAATGGCATTAATTTGTTGAAGATTGGTTCAGATATAGCTATAGCACCCATGTATATTGGTCATCCGATTTGTTACATTTGTTCCCCAAAGTCTTTACAAAAGTTTTAATAAGCATTTAATAAACATACTGATTCATATTTTTATATGGAAGTTCTTCTCCTAAATTGTTTCTAAAAAAATTAACATGAAGCATCCCAAAATATCACACACTTAAAGGAAAAGGCCCTTAAAAATATGCAAAATATGAAAAGGTCCATGAATTTTCGGTCAAAATGGCATTAAAACAAGTTAAAAAGTATCAGTCGGGTTTATCGAAAGATGTATACTATCGGCCTACTCTACTTCTCCATAGAGTTCCGAAGGAATGGGTCAATATTGTCCACTTCGTATCGGACCTAAATAATTTGATATAAATATTGCGACGTGCCAATCGACAGATGTATACCCTCAGCCAATGTTCGATTATTTAAATATATATATATATAGACTTCTGTTATGAATATTCAAATTGTTAACCTTCCATGGAGTGGGTTCCGAAGGAATGTGCCAATATTGTCCATTTCGTATCGTACTTAAATATAAATGAAATAAATATTGCGATGTGCCATGTTCGGGCTATATTAGTTACTTCCTTCACTTTGTATGAGATATGTGATCATTTTTAAAAAATCTTAAAATGATAGTCGATCGAAGTATTCTATTTTCACCCTTAATCTAATATAGATAAAAATATCTATAAATCGAAAAAATCGAACATTTATATCTAATTTTATGCGAAATCATAAATTCCATATTCATTTCAGGTTTCCGGTTGAGAGAAATATTTAGTTATAGCAAGTGCTAAAAAATGGTTGACATGTTTCACAAGTTATGACAGATGAAAGTATTGAAAATTGTGACCCTTTGTGGGTAAGGTACCAGGAGGGGTTGGCAGATATATATCATCTTCACAACAGATCCTGTGTTAGCGGAAATCTTTGGATGTGTAAAATTTGAAGCGAGTTGGAAGCTTATTTCGCTTTCTTTTAGAGTTTTGTTTTTCAAAATCTTGAACCCTATGTGAGGGAGGTACCAGAAGAGATGGTCCGATTTCTACCATCTTTATAAAAGATCTTGTGTTGATGAAAATATTGAGATGCGCCACGTCTGAATGGAATCGGATGTTAATTTGGCGTTTTATGAGCTTCGTGGATATTCAAAATGTTGACCCTCTGCGGGGGTAGTACCAGGAGGAGTGCACCGATATATTCCATCTTCACAGCAGATCTTGTGTAATTAAAAATTATGGGATATTTGAAATTTGAAGAGAACCGGATGCTTATTCGGATGTTATGCTCGTTTTGGTTATTCAAAATTTGAACCATTTGTGGTGGCGGTACCAGAACGAATGGTGCGATCTCTACCATCTTGTGTTGATAGAAATATTGGAATATGCCAAGTCTGGATGGAATCGGATGTTAATTTCGTGTTTTATGAGCTTCATTGATATTCAAAATGTGTATCCTTTGTGGAGGAGGTTCCAGAAGAACTGCAACGATATATTCCATTTTCACACCATACCTTTGGTTAATAAAAATATTGTGAAGTGTGTAATTTAAAGACAATCGAACCCTTATATCATATTTTATAAGAGTTATAATTATTCAACATTTTGGACCTTTGTGGGGGAAGTACATGATGGAGTAGATCGATATTGTCCATTTTCGCACCTAACCTAGCACTAATGCAAATATTAGGAGTTGCAAAGTTGCAGCAAAATCGATTATCTTTACTCGTTCTTTGCAGTAAAATATATTTTTTGAAAATTTTGAGCTTTCGAGGGGGAGGTATCAGAACGAGAGGACGTTTGGAAATTTGAAAATAATATTACGATGTTCCAAGTTTGGGCCAAATCGGATACTCTTTTGGAGACTTATCGTGCGCAGCAGCCAGACAGACGGAAGAACATCACTAGATCGACTTCAAATGTCCTGAATCGGATGTGTTCCAAAGAGACCTACGGTCTAAAACCATTATTTCGATGAGGCACGTTTTGGTCGTATCAAATGATACGTTTACCCCCTCTTCCTGATTTTTTTTAGTACACAATTTTTTGTGTCTTCATAAAAATATCTTAAAATCTCTACGATTTTGGTCCAGGAAGACCTCATCGAGGTTGATGCTATGAAACGTTACATTATTGTCTAATTTCTCAACTGATTCCTTTTTACGAAATTAAAAAATACAATAATTTCAATGCATCTCTTTTGCCATAAAACCTATAAAATAATGTGCGCGGTTGTTTATAGTTATATATGTCTTTCTTCGTTTATTTGTAAAAATATAAAAAAGTATAAAATTATGAACAAGGCAATGTTTTGTCTGTTACAAACTCTTCAAGAATCTAAGATTCTGAAACCACCTTTACAACTCCTCTTCAAACTGTTCATTATGATTGATGCCATAGAAGATTTTTCCACTTTTTACATAGGCATAGGCCATACGTTTTGATGTCCAATAGATACCAACTTGACCCTTGGCATCAATGGTAATAGCACCACCCGTTCCAACCAAACGTTCTGTCATCTCTTTGCAAGCCTCTTCGGTAGCTTGCTGTGCAGTCTTGTTGCCATATTGTATTTTGGCAAGGATTTTTTGAGCCAAATTAAAACGCATTATAGTTTCACCATGTCCGGTGGTGGAGACACCGCCAATTTGATTGTCAGCATAAGTACCACAACCCAGCAGGGGTGTGTCGCCAATGCGTCCTGACACCTTTCCTGTTATACCGCCAGTGGATGTTGCAACTGCAATGTTACCTTTGGTATCAATGGCAACGGCACCCACAGTACTGCCAGATTCCCCTACAGGTTCTTTGTCTTGGGATTTCTCGGCATCAAGTTCGGTACGGGCAAAAATGGTATCCAATCCCTTAGCTTGGCGGTCTTTGAATTCTTGCAGAGCCCGTCGTGCGTCATCGGTAACCAAAGAACCATCTTAAATAAAAGAAATCAAATTTGCAACATTTGAAAACGAAACAAATATTGGTGTTTGGAATTTTTTTAAAAATGTCTTGGGTTACCCCTAACACCGTTTCACCCGGTTTTTTGAGCCAAGAAAATGCATTAATTCTTCCATTTTCATTTTTACAAAATTGAAAATTTTGAATTGAATATCAGCTAATGGGTTCTGAAAGATGGTAAGCTTGTCGTTTCAGAATTAGGATATAACTCTTGTACTATTGTGTTCCAAAAAATAAATCTTTGGTATTCCTTGAAACTGAAAGCTATTACCTCACATTCGCTCACCTGCCATTTGTTCGAATCCCTGATCCAGTGCAAATTTCTGAGCAGCCGATCCACCCAAAAATGTATGGTGGGTCTTTTGCATAACATAACGTGCCACCGATATGGGATGCATTATATCGTGTATCAGTGTAACACATCCAGCTCTCAATTTGTCACCTTCCATTATACTGGCCTCCACCTCGGCTTTACCATCCAAATTTAAGCAGGCACCATAACCAGCATTAAAATTCTCATCACATTCCATGGAACGAACAGCAGCCTCTACTGCATCCAAAGAGCTGCCTTCACCACCATTTGCAGGAATCAAATGTTCAATGGCTGAACGTAGGGATTTTTTCATTCCTTCCAGTTTTCCGGGAACACGAGCATCGGTAATATCACCAGCTCCACCGTGTATTAAGAGTATGGGTTCAATGGGCATGTTCTTTTCTTCTTCGCTGCACTTGTAAACTCTTGAACCTTCCAATTAGTTGTGATTTTCCTGTGATTGTCAAGCAGTTTGTTGTTCCAGAACTGGCTGGTTTGCGGCTTCTTTAACATTTGATATCTACTCTGTACCTTATCAGTCAGCTGCATTCACCCATATTTTCCCATTGGATTTAATTTGTTTACATTTTTCTTTTGTTTATTTCGTCATATACAAATGAATATACGGACATCGGAAAGTTAGTTTCGTTTTTTTATACAGATGGCTCTCAGCATGCTTTTGCATAGTCAACAAATTGAATTACGCGGTCGATGTACTCAACTTCGAAAACACATTCCATTTTTTTCAAGAATTTTCACTTGATTATTCCGATATTTTTCAATATCATCGCGTAATTTTGACTTCATTATTTTCTCTTATACCGTTCAAACGATAAAGACATCTGCTGACCCGATTTTAGAGAATTAATTATTTATTCGAACTTCCAAAGTGATTTAAACCCCTAAACCCTTAAACCCCTAAGGCAGTATTCAAATATATGGGAAGGGCTATGGAATAGAGTTTTGAAACAAAAAGTTTGGATTATTCGAACTTTTGTCATTCTTTCATGTAATTGTATTTTTATATCCTCAGACATTTGGCTACAGAGGTATACATCATTTGATACGGCTAAAACGTGCCTCATCGAAATAACGGTTTTAGACCCTAGGTCTCTTTGGACCAAATCCATTTCAGGTCATTTGGAGTCGATCTAGAGATGTCCGTCAGACCGTCCGTTCGTCTGTCTGGCTGGTGCGTACGGTAACTATCGAAGTGACTATCTGATTTCGTCCAAACTTGGTATATCATGTTATTATTATCAAACATAGATCGAGTTCGGAGATGGACAATATCGGTCCACTGCTTCTGGTACCTCACCCACAAAATATCAACATTTTCAAAGAAAGTAATTTACTGCACAGAAAGAGAAAGTATAATCTGATTTTGCTCCAACTTTGCAAATCCTAATATTTGCATCAGTACTAGGTCAGGTATGAAAATGGACAATATCGGTTCACTCCATCCAGTATCTAGCCCACAAAAGTGTCAAAATTTTGAATAAATATAACTTTTATAAAATGTGATGGTCTGTTGTAAAGATGGAATATACCGCTACACTTCTTCTGGTATCTCCCACACAAGAGTCAAAATTTTTAATATTCATGATGCTCATAAAACACAAACTTGACATTCGATTCAATTCAAACTTGACACATCTCAATATTTCCATCAACACAAGATCGGTACATTCTTTCTGGTACCTCTCCCACAAAAGGTTAAAGTTTTGAGTAACAAAAACGATCTTAAATCCGAAATAAACATCCGGTTCTCTTCAAATTACACATATTACAATATTTTTTTTAACCCAAAGTGTGGTGTTATAGTGGGGGTCAACCAAATTGACGCCAAATTATTGCTGACACTCTTACCTTTCCAAAATGCTACAATTTGTGCAAATTTTTGGGGGTTTTATAAAAAATCCGGGTCCAAAATCGATAATTTGTCTATAACTTTCGAACCGCTTTAAAATTACCCCATCATTTGACAACTTGTATAGGTATTTTCATAAACTTTCCAATGATACCTATATTGTCTATATCGTGTAATTGGATCCGGTTCTAGTCGGGGTCTTGAACCCGGACTTTCGGGTCGAAAATCTGGGGTCCGTCCCCCAAAAAAAAATAATTTCCCAGGATCAGAGTAAAAATACCTACCACTAGAGCAATTTCGAAAAAATTGAAGAGTTTTTACTAAACTAGAGTTAAGCCTCCAGTCTTTACCATTTTAGGTCTTTGATTACATTCGACGTTTATATATAACAAGTGGAAGTTATTTTTTTACATTATTTACTGCTAATTTAGCAGGTTTCCAATATTCCATGCTCATATCTCTCTTAACCCTTCACTTGTGTTTTGTTGTTTTTGTGGCAATATCAAAGGACGAAGAATCGAATTGCACTGTGAGTCAAACTAACAATAGAAGTATACTTAATGCATACCATCAGATTGGCTTATTGGAAAATAATATTATTAGATTTACTTACTTACAAATTTGATACTACTGCAGCAATTCCAGCAATCGTATGTGATTTGAAAAAATGGCCGAAACCCACTTTTTGGCAACCAAACCCCTGGTGACTGTGGTTTTAGGTTAGCTTCGAATGGCTCGAGCATAGCACTTTTTCATTTAACTTTATATTATATATTTAAATCTAATTGATTAATTATGTTAATTATACATTAATTATTATTTATATACTTCTTATATTATATTTTACACACCACACCAAAAAAAGCTTAAAAATCCAAGGTTCAATTGGAGGTGAAGTTCAATTCGAGTTTCTTTTTAATCTTTTCATATTATAGTGCATTTTTGAACACGCACAAACACAATACAAATTTATTTCACACATTTTTATATTTTTACAATACTTTTTATACAAATTATACAATAAAATCATAAAATATAATATTAAACAAAACGAATCAACCGACGCTTTCGAGAAAAGACATGAAATGTAATAACGAACAAAGACAATGAGATATGGCAACATTGAAACGAAGGACAGCACAGAAAGAAATCTGAAAAAGAGAAGAGTTCACTAGATCGACAGACTTTCTGGCTATTTCTTGAGTATGAGAGCGAGTAAAAGGAGCAATCATGATAGAAATATGAAGGTAAATTCAAGTAATCAAGTATTTAGCTTTTTTTTTTTTCAAATTTATACATTTGTTATCTCAGTGCCAAAATCTATATTCATAAATCCATTGTATACACACACAATCTCAGATGGAAACATTTTTTTGTGCATTAAAATTTGACAAGGTATATTACAGAAAATGCAGAGCTGGAAATTCTAATATGAAATGAGGCTACCTTTATTGCATTGTACCATTAAAGCAATTTTGACAGTCGAGCTTTGCAAAATCTGCAAGAAACTTACTAGATTTGTTTTTTTTTTCTTGATAATTTTTTTGCAGGATTTTTTCCGATATTTTTCAACATTGTTTCAAATATAAAAATGTTTTCAATTCTAAAACAAATCAGTGGATAGACAAAAAGCAAGATTGTCCGGAAAAATTAAAAAAAATAAAAATTGCTATTTTCAATAGTTTTCATGCAGATTTTTGTGCTCACAGTTGACTTCCAGTAACAATTTGCAGTAATTGTTAGAAAATTCTGGTCAAGAAATTTTTAAAACTTTGTGCAAATATAACTTTTTTTATATGTTTCTTATACGAAACTATTTCGAGTTTGGGGTTTTCAACAATTCTAATAAATTTGTATAGTTTGTAATTCAAAATTTTGGATTTTGGAAAAATGTGTGAAATAAATGTGTATTGTGATTCTTGTGGTTGTGCGTAGAGAATAAGAGAATGAGAAACTCGAACTGAACGTCAACTCCAATTGAATCTTGCATTTGAAGCTTTTTGTTTGCTGTTGTGTGAAAAATATGATATATAAATAATAATTGATATAAGTAATCATTCAGATTAAAAAATATAGAATAAAATTCAGTGAAAAAGTGCTATGCTCATGCTATTTTGGTTTGGTTCCCAAAAAAAAAGCAAGTTTCGACCATTTTTATTTCAAATCGCATGAGATTGCTGGAATCGCTGCAGTAGTATCAAATTTCCAAGTAAGTTAATCTAATAATATTCTCTCCTAATAAGTCAATCTAATGGCTTAACTCTAGTTTAGTAAAAACACTTCATTTTTTTTTTCGAAATTTTTTCCAGTTGTAGGCATTTTTACCCTGATCTCGGGAAACGGCTTTGTAATTCCAACGACGACTACGTGAAATAAACATTTTTTTTTTATTGAAAACATAATTTTAATAAATCGGGTTATACCAATAGAAAGACCTATCTCTCTGAACCCGAAAAAGGTTTTAGCACAAATTATAAGCATTTTGGAAAGGTAAGAGTGTCAGCTATAATTTGGCATCAATTTGGTTGACCCCCATAATGGGACCTTTTTTGAGTTTTTGGGGGTTTTATAAAAAATCCGGGTACAAAAATCGATAATTACACTATAAATTCCGAACCGTGACCACTTACACATCATGTGACCACTTGTTGGATAGGTATTTTCATATGCTTTCCAACATATATCTATATCGGGTAATTGGATCGGGGTCTTGAACCCGGACTTTCGGGTCAAAAATCTGGTGTCCCGGGTCCGTCCTCCAAGAAATAAATAGTTTCCCGAAATCAGGATAAAAATACCAACCTCTGGAAAAAATAGAGTTTTTTTTCAATCTAATGGTATGTATTATGTATACTTCCATTCTTTGTTAGACTTGCAGTGAAATTCGATCCTTCGTCCTTTGATATTTCCACAAAAACAACAACACAAAAATAAAGGGCTTAAAGAGCTATTGACTTGGAACATTGGAGTAGTCTTAAATTAGCAGCAGATAACGTAAACAAATTACTTCTACTTGTAATATATAAACATCGAATGTAATCAAGGTCCTAGAATGGACTGGACAAAATGAATTCTGAGCAAATGGTTTGTGGCTATACTATCTAGAGTAACAGTTCATGATAGAGGCATGTTAATATGAACAATTTAAATGAAATCACTCGGTATTGCCGACAGCTGCATGCACTTAGTCAATGTTCGGTTATTATGCTTATGTACCCTCACCCTAAGTCTGATAAAAATATTAAAACGTATCAGATTTGGATTTTACATCGACTATTTCCTTCACTTTATACGAGACTTTTAATAAAATTTCGAAAACTTCGTGTTTTATGAGAGCTATAATTATTTAAAACTTTGATCCGTTGTAGAGGAGGTACCAGAAGGAGTAGTTCGATATTGTCCCTCTTCACAATAGAGCTTGTGTTGTTCACAGTATTGCAATGTGCAGAGTTTGAGAGTAATCGGTTGACTATTACGCATTTTATGTGCTTAATGGTTATTCCAAATTTTGACCCGTTGTGAGGCAGGTACCAGAAGGAGAGTCCGTTCTAAATATCTCACTCTGTGTTACTGGAAATATTGAAATATGCCAAATTTGAAAATAATGGGACACTTAGTTCAAATGTTATACAAGTTATAATTATTCACAAATTTTACCCTGTTGTAAGGGAGCCACCAGAAGGAGTGATCCGATATCTGCCATCTTCACACCAGATCTTGCTTAAGTAGAAGTATTGGGATGTGTGCAATTTGAAAGGAATCAGATGCTCACTAGCTTCATGGTTATTAAAGATTTTGACTAGGAGTACCAGAAGGACTATACCGATACATGCCATCTTCACACTAGATCTTTTGTTAACAAAAATATTGGAATGTGTGAAATTTGAGAACAATCGGACTCTTATTTCACATTTTAGGTATTTTGATGATTTTTGCCAAATTTTTCAATGGAATTTTTTGAACTTCTACACAAGGAGTTCTTTCTTAGTACTTTACCGCCTGGAAGAGAATTTTCTATATGGGTTTCCCATATCGCATACCCTCCATACAATGGTACATCCAATATTCGTTATTTTGATGATTTTAATGAGAGTATTCTCCATAATCTTTTTAAAGTAGTTTATGGGTGCTTCATCCTATGACGGAAAATTTTCTGTACACGTTCACGTCTTCGCGTAGCCCCCATATAACTAGACCTCCGATATTCGGTATTTTGAAGATTTTAGCGGCATTTTTTTTAAGTTCCCATCTACAACTAAAAATTGCTCATACAGGTTCATGCCTTCTTATATCCCTCATATAACGGTAACTCCCGATATTCGGTATTTTGATGACTGCAGGCAAATGTGTCAATGGAATTGTCTAAAAATCCACACAAGGTGTTCCTTCTGAGTACTTTACCACCTGAAATAGAATTATGTATTTCTATACCGACGGCTCTAAGATGGAAAGTGGAACGGATGCTGGTGTTTTCTGCGAAAGCCTAAATATCCAGAATTCATTCAAACTCAATAAAGATTGTAGCGTATTCCAGGCAGAAATCTTTGCTGTCAGGAAAACCGTAGAGTTGCTGATGAATCGAACAGTTGAACTGGATAGACTGAAAGCGCTAAATTCATCCACCATCAAATCTATGGCAGTCCTGGAGTGCCGGATTGCTCTGGAAAAAGTGAAGTCCTTTATTAAGATTTGCTGGGTTCCTGGCCATAGCAACATCTTTGGCAATGAAGCTGCAGATGAATTGGCAAAAAGGGGCTCCGAGTCAACTCTTCTAGAGATTGAGAGCTCGGCGAAACCAACAGGGTGGTCACTTATTCCAGATTATACACAGAAACTATCCTGGAAGATTTCGCAATAACTGGCAATATACAGGAGGCTACATTGCTTCCAAAAAAATTTGGCCGGTAATCTCCGAAATCAGAGGCAAAACTTGTAGTAGACTTAATCACATTTCACTGTAATATTAGGGCCATGACTTCCAAGTGTGGGGGAGGGCGGGTGTGGTGCAGAATCTGACTATTTTAGGCTTTGTCAAGACGAGGAAGAGATAAAAACTGCGGAACATTTACTATGTCAATGTCCAATTATTTTTAAAGTCAGACAGAGGCTCACGGGTAAGCAAAATCTGCATGATCTGCTTTCACTCTCCAATACTTAGCCGTCAGTTATTCTTCAGGTAGCTAGAAGACTAAAATGGCTAAAGACAACTCGATAAATTCTTCGTGGATTCAACCTTTCTTTCTCTCTTTATTTCTTTATTTTTCACTCTATCAGGATGATCACAATGGACCAGCAGGTCTCCAAGTGCAGCGCTAAGCAACCACGCATCCTCTAGCCTAAAACCTACAGTTTGTAATCAGTTTTACCTTTTGTGATATCTTTGCTATCCCAAACAGAATAACATGATTAATATAGCCTATCATGTAGAGGTATTACTTCATTATGAGTTATTTTAAATTCAGTACATTTTAGTCATTAGCTGATCAGGAATTGGGATCATCAAATATGTCAAACATGGTTTCCATGACTTGGAGAATTAAAAAAAAATTATTGAATATTTCAAAATAAGTTTATTTTCTTAACTATAGTTTATTAATTAAATTCAGTATTCAACACGTACATAAAAGTGCTTTGTTTTGTGGTTTTTTTAAAAAATATAAAATCAGTTATAGTAAGAAGAACAAACAAAAAAATATTCACATAAATATTCTAGAAATAATTCTTAAAATTTACTACTAATCCCTGACTCATGTGGTGTGCCTAAGAACAGCACACAAATAATCACAACCAATTATTGATACAAAAATTACAAAACATATCAATGAATTACATGCAGACAATTATATCTCCTATATATAATATATTTACAGAGAAAATATATAGCTATGTATTTATATTAATATACAAATACACGTTCATAGTAAATTAAATACCAACAATTTAATACCATATTTGTTTGGACTGGCCATACTACTTAAAACGGCGTTGTGGTTTGGGGGGGATTCATGCCCCTCAATGTTGCATTTTATTCTTAGCCTGTATGGTGGCTGTGCTGCCAACACGACGACGATCGAAATAGGGTTCAGGTACTCCGGTGCGCACACCAATTGCTGTCAAGGCAGCAAAACCACTGCCTTCTGGAGAAACTTGCATGGAATGGCCCACCTTGTTTAGATAATTACGAATCTCAACGGGTACTTCAGATTCGGCGTCAATTCTCATGGGAGCCAATTGATGGTGTAAACGGCCATCGTTAACTGCCTCATTCAGGGTTTCGTTGAATATTAAATATTTCATAATTGTCTGGGGGAAATCAGAAAAAAAATATTAAAAACAGATGTTTCCCAGGATTACAAAAAAGGAAGTTCTTACTTGTGCCACCGAAGTTGTGATTTTGGTGCCACCTGCTGCCCCCACCAAAAGTCTTACATTTCCATCATGATCGAGAATAATTGCGGGGCACATGGAAGACATTGGCCGCTTGCCGGGCTTAATGTAATTGGCTGGGGATGCAGGGACACCAAAGGAATTAATGAGACCAGGCGTCGAGAAATCATCCATTTCATCGTTCAAAATAATACCAGTACGTGTTGAACGTACTTTGGAACCAAAATAATTATTCACCGTACTGGTGACGGTAATGGCATCACCATTTGCCGCCAATACAGCCATATTGGCAGTACCATGATCCTCTTCCACCGTGAAATTGGCACCATAATACGAAGTATCATTAAAGGTCTTGTCATCGAATATCAGTTGACGTATCTCATCGGCAAAATCTTGACTAATCATTTTCTCAAAAGTCTCACTGATAATGTCATGCATTTCCGGATCATTGTCCATGTCACCCAAGTTGCTGCGATGGCCATAGGCATGTTTGTAGGTTTCAATGACACGTTGCCAGTAAACGGGACGATCTTCGGTATACAAATCACTCATGACATTCAAAATGAATGCCAACAAGGCACCGCTGGACGGCAGGGGTGTGGTATATAGTTTATAGCCACCTGTCACATTGGCCACCACATGGTGGGTGTCCTCCCATTTGACCCTGTTAAAAATTAAATAATTGTAATAAAATTTTGCCGATATAGAGAACACAATTTCACCCACTTGTAATTCCTTAAATCGTCCAAGGTGATAATGCCACCCATTGCCTGTATGTCCTCAACAAACATTCTTGCAGTTTCGCCATCATCATACAATTCACCAGCACCATTCTTAGCGATTCTCTCCAATGTATCGCCCAAGGCCAAACGTTTAAGGTAATCACCTTCCTTGTATAGGGTGCCGTCTTCTTTAACGAAAATTTCCGCCATAGAAGGTTCGTTGCGTATTTGTTGTTCTTTGGATGCCAAAGCAGCTGCCAAGTACTTCGAGACCCAATGACCTTCGCGACACAGTTTAATGGTGGGCTGAAAGAGAACATTCCATGGCAGGCGACCATAACGTTTATGCATTTCCCAATAGCCAAGAATTTCACCTGGCACCGCACCAGCCAAGGCACCTAGTGAGTGAAAATAAATAAAAGGTTGGATTAGTTTTTGATTTGGATCTTGGCTGAAAATCTTTCACACTCACCTGTTACCGAGGATTGTCCAACAAACATATCTTTAGTGGCTGCAGCCGGTGCCGATTCACGGGCAATAAGTGTTTCCATTTTACGTGTAGATTTCTTGTAAATCGTTGCAACAAAACCACCACCAATGCCCATGCTGTGAGTCAAGATGACACCTTCACACAACAAGGTGGCAATGGCTGCATCAACGGCGGTGCCGCCATCAGTTAGCATTTGACTGCAAAATAAAAACGGACGGTGAGAAAATGTGTGAAAAAATGTAGAAAGAAATGAAAATGCTTTAAAGAGAAACTGATTTCTTAAAATAGGGGAAGGAAAGTTTTTTATTACCCTCCCTTCTTCTCCAATTTTCTTTTCTCTCACAGATTTAGGAATGAAAATTGTTCCCTTGAAAAAAATACTTACCTTCCAATTTCGGCACATCCTCTGCCATTGGAAACCACGGCTCCGACGATAAGTGTATCATTGCTTCCCTTTAGGCCAAATACCAGACCCAAAACCAATGCCAATACCACGAGGGCGGCAAGGGTCGCCCATATGGCGAATTTTTTATTTATAACAATTCTGTAAAGATAAAAAAGAAAAATATTTAATATAAAATATAAGAATGGTTCAATAAAAACAATAGCCCGACTGACTGCAGGTTTTATGCCCTCCACCATAAAACGTCATACTAAGTGGAAAGCGTTTTACAATAAAATAATCATTCTATGAAATCTTCCAAACCTGGATCTCCAAAAAAATTGTTTCAAAATATCTGTTCAGAATCGGAATTTTTCGCAAATATTTATTATACCCTCAACCATATGGCTTCAGAGGGTACATATCATTTGATACGATGGTCTTTGGACCATATGCGTTGCAGGACATATGAATTTGATCTAGGAGTTTCGGTCCGTCCGTCTGTCTAGTTGGCTGGTGCGCACGAAAACTCTCGAAGGAAGTATCCGATTTGGTCCAAACTTTGTACATCGTAATATTATTGTTAAACTTAGATCGATTTCGGAGATGGGTAAAATCGGTCCACTCCTTCTAGTGCCTCCTCAACAAAAGGTCAAAATTTCAAAGAAAAAAAAGAGAAAGGAGAGAAAGGATCATTCGATTTTGTGAAATCTTTGCACATCTCAATATTTTCGTCAGTGCAAAGGGGTCAACATTTTGAACCACATTAAAAACCATCCCGCTGTTCTTAGTAAAGAACACATACAAATTTGCAGCATTCTAGCACGGCGACGACTTGCTGACTTCCCAAAAGGGATTCAAGGCTATAAACTGCGGAAATTGGAAAATCTACCTATTGTTAATTTTTGCAGGTAATGATCCTGGCTCCCCTATAGAAACTCGACCAATCAGTGCATTCCGCTATTCGACCTCATCCGAAAAGTAGATATACCGGATCTTCCAATCGATAAGCAGCCAATGATGCTCCCTGATTACTCCATTGGGGTCAGCGGGATAAATGACTGTTATTCTAATGTCATTCGGAGCCCTTCGTTGGGCAGATTGATGAACTTGCGGGTTTCGAGAGTTTATCAGGCTTCAATTTCATCTTCTTCCTCGCAGCCTTTTCAGTGCTTTGGAGGGTAGTACCTCCGGCTCTGGCACATCAGAGGCCTTTTTCAAAGGAGGTGTTTAATTTCAAACTGAATTTTCATTAAATTGCATTAAAGTTGGTTTTTATTGACCCCTGATTTGGTCCTTAATTAGTCGTTAAAATGTACGCGCTACGGTTTATTGCAACCTTGTGCATTTTAACGAGTAATTAGTTGTCACTTGTTTTACCAGGTAGTATTTCGCTGTCATTCGGACAGACAACACCCGCAATATCGTTTGCAAAGCACATATCGTTGTGCGTAGAAAGGCATATTGTTGCCGCAGGTAATAACGTTACCTCTTACCAAACTAGCAATAAATAGTTGTATATATTAAGAAAAACTCTTGTTTTATTTCTTTTTATATTTCCCCCGTACGATCTACTGCTCGACGCATTTTACCCCCATCGGCGGAGCCCCTCTGAACTAAACAGGAGGATTCCCACAGTCGTCGCCTTTTTTGAGGCCTCGACTGTTTTTGACACTGTTCTGCATGGGATGCATCCTCTTGAACTTGAGGTTCGTCCTAATAAGCTGCAGCTCCTTATCCGTGAGTATTTTACTGCTCGCCGATATTTTATCTCTCATCTCCTTGGATTTGGCGTTCTTGGTATCGGGAGAGCTCAGTGGCATTTCATTTCATTTTATCAATGGCGAAGCCGCTCTGTCCTACTTCTACCTCTATAGCCTGGCGAGTGTGGGTTTGTCAGTATTAACCGACGGATTGCTATCTGATCCACTAGGACTTTTCAGGTAAACTTTTCAGGTAATCAAACCCTGATCAAAGGTCGAGGCCTCAATTACCATGGTATCCATGTCCTCGTCCTCATCAGTCAAGGATCTTTCCTAAAAGTCTACAGGGATGCTGTTCTGACTCAGCATTAATGGTCCCATATATGCAATGATCTGGCTGATTACTTTCTGCTTTCTTTTAATGCTATCGTTAACAAGGTCTAAAGTCCGACCATTGTTTCCCTTATAGGCCTCCCGTCCAGCAGACGATCCTGTATCACTATCTAAGTCCGATCTTATAGTACTTTTTTTTTGAGGTGGAGTTTAGTTTCGCACTTGTAGCTTTGTTGACTGAGGGTGCCAAGGCGTCGAACAGCAGTATCATTCGAAATAGGATTCGTATAGCCCCCATATAACGGAATCACCTAATATTCGGTATTTTGGCGATAAAAGCGACATTTTTCACCGGAATTGTTTCAAATTTCGCATTTGAATTTCTTAATAAGTACTACAACCTATGACCAAAAAAAAAAAAAAAAAAATACTTATGCAGGCTTACGTCTTCATATAGTCCCTATATGACGGTACAGCAGAATATTTGGTATTTTTATGATTATGAAGACATTATAGACCGGAATTGTTTCAAATTTCATGCTTCGTAAACGATACTACAGCCTATGATAAAAATAATACGAATGCAGTTCCACGTCTTCTTAAAGCCACTATAAAACGATACCTCCTGATATTCGGTATTTTGATGATATTAGCGACATTATTCACCGGAATTGTTTTAAATTTCGTATCTGAAGTTATGAATCGGTACTACAGCCTATTGCTTTTATTGACGGTATTATTACATTTTTTTTTTAATATTTTCAATTTCTTTCTAAATGATGGGTACTAAAAGTTTGGGCCTGCCGAACCTTGGTCCTTTTTTATTTGTTTTTTTTTTTTTTATTTTTCCAATGATCTACAAGGATCCAAAGGGCGTATTTTTTTAAAGAATATAGTTTTATGGGCCCACTGAGGCAAAAGCGTGCATTTTTAAGGACCAACAAAGAATAAGGTTTTATCAGCCAACAGAGCCACAAAGCGTAGAACAAAAGAGTAGTGGATTTTATGATTTAGTAATTAACCGCGAATTTCTAAACAAATTAATTTTTAAAAGCAGTAGAATGTAGACGTTTTCTAAAATAATTGTGGAAGATCCAACAGAGCCACAAAGTGTCTATCTTTAAGGATTAATAACATAACAAAGCTTGAATAGTGATGTTTACACTTCGATGGGTCATAAATATTAAGCCCCTATCTGAGAATATTTTTTTTGGAATTTCACACTAAAATTTACTTTTATAAATCTGCCATTCATTACTTTGCAATTTTATATCAAGATTTTCTTTATCATTGCCCTCTAGTGCTATTTTCCATTTTGCTTATCTGATAATAATAATTATTATGACGTTCCGTACCGTGCGCACCCCTCCGCCGTTAATCGTCGTAAATCACTTCTGATACCCGATAGAGAGAATACTATAAACAAATAATCGCGTGCCCATATCAGATAAGAATTAAAAGGCTTCAACGAACATTCTTGTTAATCTTTATTTAATAGTTTTTTTGCGCTTTCTTATTTTTTTATGGGACGCGAGTTATGTGAACTTTGATTTTATGGCTGGAGAGAGTTGTATATCTCTTTGGGGAGGTAAGAAAGGAAATATTGATAATAGATTTATTAATAAATAAATGAAAAACTACAAGGATTCGGGGTAGTATTTAAAGAAAATTTCTATTTTTGGTGATCATTTATATTATATTTTTTTAGAAACCACCATAAATATGATACCAATGATCGCAGCTTATGGGCGTTTTTTTTTTTTTTTTTTTTGGATAACTAAAATCCTCTCCACTTATTACTTTCTCTCCCTTCAATTAATACCCATTTCTTGAAAAAAAAATTTACCTTATCTGTAAAGTTTAATTTAATAAAAACGATTGTCATAGAACTATATCACGGTGTAAACCTTCATTCCAAGCTGGTTAAAACCGGAATTTTTAAACAATAACAGTAAATATCATAAATCAGCCAATAATTTCCTTGCCATTTGACTTAAAAATGCACTTGTATTTTAGCAAATATAATTTATGGCTTGCGATAGTCGGTGAATTTAAAACGCTGTACTTGCCAAGATAATAATTTGTTAGAATGTAAACAGTAGTGACGTAGGTAGTGGGCAACTGGTAGATGTTGGGTTTTTCAAATACTTTTCCCTTTTGAAGAGTCTCTTGAAATAGAAAGTGGAAATTTTGTTGAATCATTTTTCCTTCTTCGAATCAGGAGGAAGCGCTTGCTTGAGGTGATCGACACTTTGGTATTTTTTAGTGCCAATCTTGCTTTCCAAAATACCCCAGACACAATATTCCAACGGATTGGTATCCGGAGATTTTGGGGCCCATTGTGCGCTGGAAATGAAGCGAGTAACCTCATTTTGTAACCATTCTTGGAGGACGCGTGCTTAATGCGATGGTGCTGAGCTCTTTTGGAATGTCCAAGGTCTGCAGCAAAAATGTTTGCATGTCCAAAGCTTCAATACACCCTTCAGAATATTTTCGCGATAATATTCGGCATTTATTCTGATTCAACGGTCGATTAATACGAACAGAGAGCGACCATCGACCGTAATGGCTGCCCACATCATCACCATGGCCGGCGCTTGAGTTCTGGTGGCCAACCGAAAGTGAGCATTTTCAGCTGACCTCCTTGGCAAGTAAACCCGATCCTTTTCTTTGTTTACAAACTGCTGGACAACGAATGTTTTGTCATCGGAGAAAACAAAATTCGGCAGTTCACCACTTTCGGCCAAGCGAAGCAACTCTTTAGATCTTTTGAGTTTATTTTCCTTCTGTTGCGGTGTAAGTTCTTGCACTCTTTGGAATTTCAATGGATTTACCCCGAGCTATTTTTTCAATTTTTGCAGAATAGATTATTGCGATATATTCAGCTCACGAGCCATTTTTTCGGCCACTGCGACGCGGGTTTCCATCAAGTCGATTCTTTACTTTTCGAATCATTTCTGCTGATGTTGCTGTTTTCTTCCGTGCACTTCCTTGACGTCCGGCTACGCTACCAGTATCAGTATCACGGTAACGAGCGATGGTACGAGACACAAAAGATTTATTCACATTTAAATGCTGGAGTGCCCTAACTACAGCCACTTGTGGTTTTCCAGCCAAATATAAAGA